GAGGGAAAGATGCTGATAGGATTCATCTGTGAGTAATTTCAACGAGGGTTCCTTAAAGTGCCATTCTGCAGTGTATCAAATGAGCCCTCTGAAAAGAAGTAAGGATCTCAGTACCTGCAAGAGCCCAAAGTGGAACAAGTCCTCTGTACCCTGTGTAGTGAACCTCTTGGGTCCAGATGATAGCTACATCAGAGGAACAGCAGCAGTCCAGGAGCCATAGCATGGAACAGAGTGATGGACTTCCCAACTCATGGAGCAAGTAAGGCAAGTGCTTTTGTGCAGAAGGCTGGCTTGTGGAGTGGGGTACCTCTGGGCACTTAATATGGGAAGTTGTGCTTGTGTCACCCAGAAGTGGAGCTGAGTGCCTTCAGGGTGAGGTTTACTGGAGTATAGGGTGCCTCAGGGTACTCATTTCAGGGAGCTGAGTTTGATAACTTATGGAGCTTGAGCTCAGTACCTTCAGGTTTAGGCTTACAGTAGAGTGGTATGCACCTTTAGGCATTTATTAGCAGACCAGAAAAAACTTTGTAACATGGCCTGATAAACAACTCAACCCTGGATATTTCTCATTGGCATTACAACTTGTTAACTTCTTTTTTTTTAGTGTTAACTTCATTAATAAACTCTTTGACCATGAATAATGCCTGAGTTCTGTGTAGTCATTGCAATGGGTATTAGAACCCCCTAAGACAATACAAAGGAGAAAGGATTGAAATGATCAAAGATTTTGTTTTAGTTGGTTCCGCAATCAATGCTCTTAGAAGTAGTAGTCAAGAAATCAAACAGCATCTTACACTTGGCAAATCTACTGCACAAGATATTTTTAAAAAGCAAAGATGTCACTTGGACAGTGAATAAAGAAATCTAGAGAAGAATTGATGCATTTGAATTATGGTATCGGAGCATATACCATGAAAAGTAGAAGGGCAACGAAAAAGGAAGATCCTTGATAGAACAGACTGATACAATGGCCTCAAACCTAACAACAATTGTGAGGCTGGCACAAGACCAAGCAGTGTTCTGTTTTGTTGAACATGGGGTTGATATGAATCAATCGACTCAGTGGCACCTAACAACAACAAGTCAGAAGAATAAATTTGTCCTGGAAAAAGGACAGCTAGAATACTTTTTTAGAAGTGAGGATGGCAATATCTCATCTCGGGTACTTTGGACATGTCATCAGGAGAGACTAGTCCCCAAAGAAGGACATCATTGCTTGGCATAGGAGAAAGTCGGTGAAAAAGAGGAAAACCCTCAGCGAGATGGATTGGCACAGTGGTTGCCACAATAGGTTCAAACATAGTGGTCATGAGAATTATGCAGGACCAGGCAGTGTTTCGTTTTGCTGTATATAAATGAGGTCACCATTAATTGAAATCAATAATGACATCTAACAATAGTAGCTTTCTTATCATTTTTTGGTTGGGGCGGGGTGCATTTTCTACGTTGTAGGATCAGGCCATATGCAAAGAAAGATCGTTTTTTCCTCCTGATTTGGATGACTTTTATTTACTTTGTTTTTGCCTAATTGCTTTGGTTAGAACTTCCAGTATAATGTTGATTAGCAGTGATGAAAGGAGGCACCCTCCTTATGTTCCTGATCTTTGAGGGAAAGTTTTTAATCTTTCACCATTATATGATGTTAGCCATGGGTTTGGTTTTTTGTTTTAATAAATGCCCATTATCATGTTGAGAAAATTTCCCTCTGCTCTTATTTTGCTATATGTTTATTTATTAAAGGAAATAGAATTTTGTATGCCTTTTTTACATTGATTGGCTGCTAGCAGAAAGGTCGGCAATTTAAGCCCACCAGCTGCACTGTGGGTGAAAGATGTGGCAGACTGTTTCTGTATAGATCTGCCATGTTGGAAACCCTGTGAGGCAATTCTGCTCTGTCTTATAGGGCTGCTGAGCTGGAATAAACTTAATGGCAGTGGGGCTTAATGGGTTCATATGCATCCCCCCCATTCTATTAATTTTAAGTGTGGTGAACTAGGTGGAACCCTGATGGTGTAGTGGTTACACTATGGGCTGCAATTGAATAGTATTTAGGAACCACCAGCAGCAACTTTGGAGAAATACTGGAAACCCACAGGAGGTAGGGGGTGGGGGTGTGTTGCTATGAGTCATCATTGACCCAATGACAGTGAGTATGGTGAACGAATCTTGCAATCCTAGGGGTCACACATTGATTTTTGAGTTTGAGTTTAATACATAAGGTGGTCATGTGAAGACTCATAGTCTGAAACTTACATTGTATGATCAATTTCATCTTCATTATTAGAGACTAGAGTGTCCATCTGTCCGTTCGCATTCATTCTCTGATCTTATAATTATGAAACATCTTCCTCTGGCAGTAGTCTGCTCTTTGATATTCTAGGTAGAAAATGGAAATTCCTGTATTGGCAACAGGGTTCAGTGACAGCTTTAAAAAAGTAGAAAGCTGGGGTCTGTGGACTTCTTTTTATATCTTCTTGAAAGATATTGCAATACTTTGGGCAAAGCATTAATTCAGAAAACTGAAGTATAATGTAATGGTGATAATTTATTTCATTATTATATCATTCTGTACAATTTCAGCATTTTTCTAGTTTCTGTCTTCTACAGAGTACATGCATAGTATGATAATAAAACAATTTTTTTCAAGAGCTTTTCTAAGTTGCAATATCTTGTCTGACTAGCACATACATTTTCTTTTGCAGGGAACCCTGCAGTAACTTAGATAATATCAGCAGCTATAGTTTGGTTGGAGTGAACAGAGTAGAGACATACTAATTCAATTGTCTGTTTGTTATTTGGAAAGACTTCCTAGTTTTGATTTGTGAGTTGAAAATCTGACTTGACCAATAGAAAATCTTCAGCTGCTATACCTTTTTGAGAATCTTAAACTGTATACAAGGGAGTACTCTCCCAAAAAAACCCTGATTTTTTTTCAAAGCTATGTATTTAAATTGTTTTACAAAACAACCTTATTACCTTCAAAATACTCTCCATTACACTTAATACATTTGTCAAATCTGTGATTTCATTCTTGGAAACATTTTTCAAACTCATCTGTTTAGATGGCTGACAGCACCTCCCTTGATTATTTTTCTTCACCTCTTCTACATCATCAAATTGCTGTCCTTTCATGTCCCTCTTCATTCTCTGAAACAAAAAAGTCCCATGGAGTGAGGTCAGGTGAGTAAGGTATGTAAGGTGCAGGGCAAGAAAGGCATGCTGTTTTTGCCAAAAACTGGCACATTGAGATGGCTGTGTGAGCAGGTGCATTGTCCTGGTGGTAAAACCAGTCCCCCGTCTGCCACAAATCAGGCCTTTTTTGTTGCACACTATTGTGCTATCTTTTTAGAACCTCTAAATAGAAAGCTTGATTAGCAGCCTGACCTGATGGAACAAACTCCAAATGCACTATACCCCTCACATCGAAAAAACAAATGAGCTTCGTCTTGATCTTTGATTTCACTTGACGAACATTTTTCGATGAGGTAACACTTCCACTAGCTTGATTGATGTTTGCTTTCGGAGTTGTAAGAATAGCACTGTGTCGTAATATAAGATACAATAATAATTCATAAATTATTAGGGGTGCATGGGGGAGAGGGGAGGAGGAAGGGAAGGGGAGGGGGGAAAAAAGGAAAATTAGAGGCTAGCGAATTTTGGGAATGATGAGGGCAACAAATGTATAGATGTGCTTTACACAATTGATCTATGTATTGTGATGAATTGTATGAGCCCCAATAAAAAAAAGAAAAAAGAAAAAAAAAAGAATAGCACTGTGTCTCGTCACCAGTAATGATCTTTGAAAAAAGCCTGGTCTCTTCAGAGCTGTTCTTTGAAAAGCATGGCATATTTCCACTTGAAGCTCTTTCCCTGGTCAGTCAGAACCCAAGGCACAACTTTCGCAGTGACTTCTTGTCATTCCCAAATTTTCAATTAAAATTCACTGAACTGAGCTTCAAGATAGTCCAGATAACTGGCCCATCTCTTTAATAGTCCATCATCCATCTTCGAGCACAAGTGCCCGAATTTTGTCAACATTTTCATCTGCTCAGGAAGTTGAAGGATGTCCAGAATGAGGTTTGCCATCAATGGACATTTCACCTTTTTTTAAACAAGAAAATCGCTTGTACTCTTGAGTTATTTCCATAGCTGTCTTTGTAAGCTGTTCAACATCACAACAGTTTCTGCGGCATTTTTCCGGAGGAGGAAACAATTTCACAGCTGCAAGTTGTTCTGTTAAATCGACCATCACAAAAAATGAGTTTTGAGTGAAACTGCTTTTACAAAGAAATTCACTGTGACCAGAGAGAACCTTCCCAGGCCACACCACGGGGTGCATTAACTCAGAGCTAGTTGCTAGATGCTCACCTAGTGAGAAAAATGTGTACTACGAAAGCTTCATCCAGTGAAGCTTTTTTTCTGGTGTGTGTGTGTGTGTGTGTGTGTGTATTCCCTCATGTGTATACATTGGGTAAATGGGAACGTTGTACAAGAAATGGGAGTCTGTGGAAGGGTGGGCTATTTATAGCTATATAATTCTCTTTTCTATTTTTGTGTATCCTTAATGAAAATTCAACTTCATTTCTTTAGGTACCTAAAGTGTTAATAGTATACCTTTAAGTATACTTTTAATTATTTAAAGTTGAATAGTCTTTTTGTTTGTTAATTAAAACCAAACTCACTGCTATCAAGTCAATTCTGACTCATTGCAACCCTATAGGACAGGATAGAATGGCACCTGTGGGTTTTTGAGACTTTAAATCTTTACAGGAACAAACAGCCTCATCTTCCACTCATGGAGTGGCTGGTGGTTTTGAACTGCTGACCTAACAGTTAACAGCACAACATATAACCTACTATGTCACCAGAGTTCCTTTACTATACTATATATTTAAGCATAGTTAATTCTGTATAATGCATTTAAAATTAATTTTAGTGGTAATTTGAATAGATAGTAAAAAATTTTAAATATTCCCCTCCTACATTTTCTTTTACAGTTTTGGTGATACGTAGTAGCACAACCATGTTTCGGAATAGTCTCAAGATGCTTCTCACTGGAGGAAAATCAAGTCGCAAAAACAGGTCAAGTGGTAAGTGATTATGCTACATCTGTTCTTTGTAATGTTTTATAAGTAGAAATTATTTTAGGGATATAAATTAATGCTGTAACAGTTTATATATAATATATATATTTACTTACGTATACATGGTTTCTGTAATTTAAAGAAAAAAGTTTGTATTCCTGTTGGCTGTTATACTCTATCAACACGTAGGAAAACAGAACACTTATCAGGAATAGTGAGGTGAAGTTTGTGAAGAAAGAAAAATATATAGGAGATTAATGTTTCAATGCATTATAGACTTATTAAAATCTTTTTAGACTTGACATTTATTATTATTTTTTTTAGTTAGCATGAAATTATAGCAGCCTAAAGCACACTTTGGGAAACGAGATTATAAAAACAGGAACCATCTTTCTAGATTTGTGAAGATATTTAGGAGCAAAGTTTTATGTTTGGGTTTTTAAGGTTAAAAAAGATCCAAAATTGTTTAAGAGGGGGCTTCAAAAGTGCATGTAAAAACTTCATTACCTTTTAATTCCATTTTTTTTGGCTGATAATGTAATTTATTTATTCATTTTTTTATTTTTAAATTTTTAATAGTTTTATTAGGCTCATTAATTCCATTTTTACATGAATGTTGTGAAATTTCCTTGTATGAACTTTTTTGGGGGGAAATTGAAAAAGAGTATACCAAAATGTGTATTTTTTTAATTGATAGACTTATAATGGATAGCAGACTTACTGTATTATTTATAATCTTTTTGATTTTCTATTTTTCTGCATTTTTACATGTTTACATTGATAGTATATAATCAGTCATGTAAAGTGTATTTTGCAATCATCATTATGATTTTTTATTGACCAATTAGTATTTAAAAGTATGTTAATTTCCAAACAGTTGATTGTTTTCTGGTTATCTTACTATTTTTTTTTATATCTAGCTTATTTGTGTTAATCAGAGAACCTATTTTTTGTTATTTTATTCCTTTGATATCTGTTGAGATTTGCTTTTGTCAGCTCAGCTATAATGGTCGGTTCTGATAACTATTTTTTAAAATCATTTTATTGGGGGGGTGGTCTTACAACTCTTATACATACATCTATACATCCATCCATTGTGTCAAGCACATTTGTACATTTATTGCCCTCATCATAGAATGCATCTTCTTTTTTAAAGCACATTTGTACATTTATTGCCGTCCTCATCCTGAAAACATTTGATTTCTACTTGAGCCCTTGATATCAGCTCATTTTTCCCCCGTCCCTCCCCACCCCTCCTCGCTCATGAACCCTTGATAATTTATAAATTATTTTTTCATGTCTTACACTGTTTGACATCTCCCTTCACCCACTTTTCTGTTGTCCATCCCCCTAGGGAGGGGGTTATATGTAGATCCTTGTAATCGGTTCCCCCTTCTATCCCACCTTCCCTCCATCCTCTTGGTATCGCCACTCTCACCACTGGTCCTGAAGGGTTCATCTGTCCTGGATTCCTTGTGTTTCCAGTTTTTATCTGTACCAGTGTATATCCTCCGGTCCAGTTGGATTTATAAGGTAGAATTGGGATCATGATAATGGGAGGCAGAGGAGGGAAGAAGCATTTAAGAACTAGAGGAAAGTTGTATGTTTCATTGTTGCAACACTGGACCCTGACTGGCTCGTCTTCTCCCCTTGGCCCTTCTATAAGGGAATGTCCAGTTGCCTACAGTTGGGCTTTGGGTTTCCACTCCCCACTCTCCCTCATTCATAATGATATGATTTTTTGTTCTTTGATTCCTGATACCTGATCCCTTTGACACCTCGTGGTCACACAGGCTGATGTGCTTCCATGTGGGCTTTGTTGCTTCTGAGCTAGATGGTTGCTTGTTTACCTTCAAGCCTTTAAGACCCCAGATGCTCTGATAACTATATTCAATGCACTGGAAAATGATGTGTATTTTACAGTGATTGGGTGCAGTGTAGATCAATTTTGTTAATAATGTTGCTCTAGTAGTTGATATCCTTTTTAAAAATTACTGAAAGAAATGTGATTAAAATCTCTATGGTTGTGAATTTATCTCTTTATGTCCCTCTGCTATTGCTTTATATCTTACTTCCACATATAGTATACACTCCATAATACATTGTGTTACTCTTTAAGCTGTATTTCTTAAATATCTTTTATGTTTATCCATATATGAAGGGGCTTCAAAAAGTTTGTGGGAAGATTCCAATTATATATATGTGTGTGTGTATGTATATATATACATATACATACATAGATATATAGAAACTTTATGGTGAATATGATTTTCCTCTTCACCCTTGTTAACACTTGTCTACTTCTAACCCATGGGCCTCCAAACTTAATTTGGCTTACCAGCCCTTTTCAGAAAACGAAAAACAAAAACATTACTGGCAATTGAACACAGCCCCTAATGCTGGAGAGAGTATAGGTATCTGCTTTTGCAGCCCCCTGGATAGCTCCAATGACCCTCCCTCTTCCAGGAGGTGGTATCACTCACTTTCAGAAGCATTTTTCTCTTGTCTGTTGCTTCCACTTCCACTCCTGTCTCTCGTAACCATCAAAGCCTGTTTCTTTTGGTATGTAAAACCCTTATCTTAATTTTTTTCTTTTATAAAAATTGTCCTTTTGTGACTGACTGATTTCACTCAGCAATTCTCCAAATCCATCTGTGTTATAAGGTGTTTCAGAGTTTTATAAATATCCTTTAGGGATGTATAGTATTTCATTGTGTGCTTATACCAGAGTTTATCCATTCTTTCACTGATGAGCATTCAGGTTGTTTCCATCTTGTTATTGTGAATAGTGCTGTGATAAACATGAATGTGCTGTGGCTCTTATTTTTTAGAGTGCATACCAAGTAGAGGGGTTAGTGGGTCATATGAAGTGCTATATTGCAAAGAACAACAACGAAGTAGGAGACCTCCCACTTCCCAACATCAAAAGGATAAAATAAATGAGGAGACAATCTCTTTAACAAACAGTCCTAGTGAAATTAGATTTCCATTTGCAGAAGAATGAAAATGGACCAGTACCTCACTCCAAGCACAAAAACACAAGTGGAACAAAGACCTAAACATAAGTGCTAGGACTTTAAAGATCATCGATGAAGAAATAAGGACAGACTTAATGGCCATAATACATGGCATAAACATACTATCAAACATAAAACACAATGCAAAAGGCAAAATAGATGACTGGTGTGCATCAAAAGAGTAGAAAGAACCCACCAACTGGAAAATAATTTTAGCAATGATACATCACACAAGGGCCTAATCTCTAAACTCTATAGAAAACATCAACACTTTCACAAGAAACACAACACATAATCTGATTTAAAAATGGGCAGAGGACACAGACAGACAGTTCAATAAGGAAACATTAAGGCAGGCAGCAAATCTATAAAATACTCATCACTGGCCATTTGAGAGATGCAAATCAAAACAACAGTGAGATACTAACTCATACCAGCATTGAGATCAAAGTTAAAAAAAAATGCTGGAGAGGGTATGGAGAGATTGGAACCATTTAATGTATTTTATCCCTTTGCCAAAAATCAGTTGTCTGTAAGCTCTCTGTTCTATTCCATTGAACTTTGTATTGTTGCAACAGCACTAGGCTGGTTTGACAACGGTAGTTGTCTAGGAGGTTTTGATACCAGGAAGTATGAGCCTCTTACTTGTTCTTCTTAAGGATTCTTTGCTTATCTTTTTTTTTCCTTTCCACTTAACGTTGGTGATTATTGTCTGTATTTCTTTAAAGAGCAATGCTGGAATCTGTATCTAATTCCATTGTCTTTTAATTGTATATTCCCATGAAAAATTTTGAGCCGCCCCATAATATTTATATCTCCTGGTATTCGTTGTTCCTTCTTGCAAAATAATGTTTCCATCTTCAAATGTAGTTGTTATGACAATGAAGTATCTCAGTTTTTGCCTTTTGAAAATGTTTTTATTTTTGGAGTTTTTTCTTGGTTTGAAATTCTAAATTGACAGCATTTTTCTTTCACACTTAAAGATGCTGTTCTATCACCTTTTGACTCACATTGTTTCTGATGAGAAGTTAGCCATCAGTCATGTTTCTTTTTTTAATCGTTTTATTAGGGGCTCATACAACTCATCACAAGCCATACATACATCAATTACGTAAAGCACATTTGTACATTCATTGCCCTCATCATTTCTCAAAACGTTTGCTCTCCGCCTAAACCCCTGGCATCAGCTCCTCATTTTTTCCCCTCTCTCCCTGCTCCTCCCACATGAACCCTTGATAATTTATAAATTATTATTTTGTCATATCTTACACTGTCCGACGTCTCCCTTCACCCACTTTTCTGTTGTCTGTCTCCCAGGGA